CCTTACCAAACATTTTATGGTTATAAAAACAAACATATGATATGATATGATATGAACATATGATGTACTCTTTGATCAGGTAAATTAAACATAATAACCGACCTGCAACCTATTTGTCGATGACTGGCTGACTTTAGTCCTACCATTCGGTACTGCTTGCTCCAAGGGTGACACTGGCTTATGCTGTCATGCCGTCAAACTACTGTACCAACAGATGCACACAGTGTGCTTTTATGCACACACAGATTCAATGATTCCACTTGTGCTGTTTTAAGGGAAGGGAAGGGAAGGGAGAGCGCAAAGGAAACAGGAAACCCAGCCCCCTTTACTGACCTTCACTGGCTCTCATCCATGTTCCTCCTCTCTTAAACATCTTCTCTCTACACTTCAGTCTCAGGGTTAATTTGGTCAGTTAATCCAAAATTGCTTTTGGAAAGATGAGCAACAGCAGTTTTCTTATTTGGTGTCTCTCTGAAAACAATGTTTTTGTGTATTTTTTTCTCCCTGCTTTTTGGGGATCATGACATCCACTTTCTAGCTGAAGTTATCCGGTGTCATGCAAACACTGTGCTAGTCCATTCCAGCTCTCCACCCCTCATGCAAACACACGCACACGCATGCAAACACACACTCTCTGCACCCCTACCTTTCTCTAAGTACACTCAGTCTCTTCTTACTGGCTGCCTTTCGCTGGAAGGTAAATAAATCCTGTGGTTGGGGTGGAACACTGAGTGCCCTCATATGGCTCTGCAGTTGCGCTGCCTGAAAGGGGCCTTGTGTTTGCTTCTGTAAGGTGGCTTCACCCAGCCTTCCCCTGACCGCGCACAGATAGGCTGCTCTGTGGAACAACTATAAAAGGAATCGGCTCTAAAGAAACATGTTTAGAATCTAAAAACTTAAAGGCAGTGTTACGTTTAGGACATACACTGCTGTTGTTGCTATCCTTAGTAATAATTTCAGGATACGTAATGCACATTAAAAGCTTGGATATGACTATATAGTGCCATGCTTTTATTTCAGGTGAGTCCTCCAGAGGGCAGTAGACCCCAAAAGATCGTCAAGAGAGAGTCACATGTTTCTTGTGTGTGCGCAGAGCACATATGACCGTATGTGTGTGCGCACAGCCGCGTGGAGATGCATATATGTATGTTCTATATGCATGTGGGCATATGTGCATTTGCATGTCTCTGTGTGGCTTCTTTCAGGTGGTTGCTCATACGTGCAGCAGTAATTGTTGAGACGTATTATCTTCCTCATTACAGCTAAGTTTCCCTGCAGCTCAAAACAAAGTAGAAGATGACTCCTGCTTATGCCTTTTTCTCTTCAATCCATTGTTGTCCTCTCTGTTCCCTTCACCGCGTCCCTGGAGCTCAATGGGACGGAAGTGTGAAACATGTCCACATCAAAGAGGGTGCAGGCCAGCACTAATCCGCAAATAATGACAGGCAGGCAGTGCTGAATTTGACACACATGTCCCCTTACTCACTAATCTTGGACGGTATAGAGCAATCCCTCATGGGGATCATCGGGCTACACTTGCACTACTGATAAAGATGAGTTCAGACTGTCACGGGACTCTCAGAAGAGTGACGGAAAAGGATTTAAAGACATTTTAAAATGTTTTACTATAAGGGATGTGATAGCACACACACACACACACACACACACACACACACACACAGCTTTTTAACTGTCAGGTGGACAGCCCTTGAGGGAAAATTCCTCCAGACTCACCTGTACCATTGTTTCCTCTGCTCTTCCTGTGTGAGGAGCCTGTGTTGTTTGAATACAATGGGGTCAGGGAAATCACAGCAACTGTCAGACAGACACTCCATCATTGTGATGGAGAGGACTGGCAACAAATAGTGCAAATGCTCACTACTGAATAACCCCATTTTGTGATGGTGCCGCTACACTGCAGAACTTACATGGACCTTGATTAGAAGACTTCATATCCTGGATATGTCATATTTGTGGTTTCTTCCTTCATGTCATGTGAGCTGTACATTTTTATTGTGTCATTTTGCAAGACTTTGTGGCACTGCCTCTGTTCAACTGGACAGAAACACAATAACCTGTGTTTATCCTGACTGTCTTAAATATACTAAAACAGAACTGTAATAATCCAC